GTTGTCACGATTCAACAAGAATATTACCAGTTTTATTTAGTTATAAAAAAAAGTAAAAAGCCCTTGATTAGTAATAATTTTGAAATTTATTCGAATCCAAGCCACGAAGCTAATTAATAATGAATTCTCGATATTCCGAATATCCTGTTAATAAAAAAATTTATGTATGTAAAAAATTAACACGAAAAAATTTTAGAGGCATGCTCTATCTGCTATAGACATAGAAAAACTAAAGGTATACCTTTAAGTTAAAGTCATTTTACTACTCTTAAAAAAGAATTACAGTATCAATTATACATGCATATGATAATAACTATTCAAAATCTTAAAAACTCATTGTTTTAATTGACGTGCTGTACAATAACAATTAACCTTATCGCAGATACGATACGTAAAATATACGAATGATGCAATACAGTTTAAACAATTAAAAAAATATAATAAATTTTGTGGGAATATTTTGTTTCTTAATTTTTTCCGAGTTACATTTCTTTTAAAGCAATAACGATAATGATTCATACTATTCATAAGATGGGAACGAAAGAACGTGTAGATTACACTAATAATGGTAAAAATGCAATCTATTTTCCTAATTCGTGTTTTTATAAAAAAGTTACACAATCACTAAATAGGAAAAGATGGGTATGATTTTTTTTACTTTAACTGCCAAGATAATCTGTAAAACTTATTTTGTGTCATGAGTATTACGATTATATCACATGACTGTTATAGAGTGTTAATGGATTATCCAATCAAAATTCTATATAATTTGTTAATTACAATGGATCACTTGATTTGTACAAATAAAAGCACTAAAAAACAATAAGCTAAAAAATTTTTGAAGGACGATTCCTCTAAATATTTGCGATGTCGTGGAAACAGCCTTCAATTACTGGTACAAATAATATTCCGTTAGGAAGACGAAGGATAGGCGGATCTGATGAATATGACACGCGAGAAGATTCTTTTGAACAAATTAAAGAATCAAGTAGTAGTGGAAATTCTCTTAAAAGATCAAACGAAGAGAACGGGGAACAAACAGGTATTATTACGCGGAAGATATAACCACCCCTCGTAGCATATATCTTAGCACTGCACAATAACATTTTAATGCTTCGCGATATAATAGCCTTAAGATCTATAAATTTCAGTTTTTTTTTATTGTTCACACGTTTTATCTATAATACTTGGATACAGTATTTCCAAGGAAAAAAAAAAAAAAAATATCTAACTTTTTAAAAAAAAAATATAAATTAAGACGTATATACTAACAGTTTGTTAAATTGCGTTTCGTTATCCGCTATTAATTTTTTTTTATGCGAAATTCACAACTCTTCATGTCTCTCCAAAACCGTTTCGTCAACTAACTGGAATATTTCAGATGGAAGTGAGGAACGTAAACGTAAAAGAAGAAGCAGGTGGGGCGGGGAGGAATCAAAAGTCAACATTCCAGGTTTACCGACTGCCATTACCTCTAATATGTCAAAGGAACAACTAGATACATACCTGCGTAATTATTTTTTTCTCATTTTATTTTATTTTTTTTGATAGATGATCATTAATATTTCATAATTTAATATACCGTTTAAATAGTTCATATGAGATTAGAAGAAATTGGAAGAAAATTGAGAACTGGTGATTATGTTCCACCTGAGAGGGAGAGGTAGATTTATTGATTTCAAATTTTATAAATTATAAATTATAATAAAAATTTTATTTTATCTATACACAAATAATAATAATTATAATTATATTATATTATATTATAATAAAGATCACCGTCTCCGGAACCTGTCTACGACTCTCAAGGAAAACGTGTAAATACTCGAGAATATCGTTATAGAAAGAAGTTAGAAGATGAACGTCATAAATTAATCGAGGAGGCTGTTAAAAGAAATCCTGATTATAAACCTCCTGCTGATTATAAACGACCAACTAAAGTACAAGATAAAGTCTATATTCCTGCTAAAGAATTTCCTGAAATCAATTTTATCGGGTTGTTAATCGGTCCTCGTGGTAATACTCTTAAAAAAATGGAATCGGAATCCGGCGCAAAAATTAGTATTCGTGGTAGAGGAAGTGTTAAAGAAGGAAAAAGTAGAACTGATGCTGCTGCAAATGCTAATCAAGAAGAAGATTTACATTGTTTGGTTACAGCTGATGCTGAAGAAAAAGTTGCAAAGGCGGTTAAGATGATTAATAAAATTATTGAAACGGTATAGTTTAATTTCTACTTTATATATATTATATTATTTATGGTAATTAATTAAACTCATAAAATTATATTAAAAAATCATGTTTTTTTTTTTTTTTTAGTCTGCTTCTGTACCAGAAGGGCAAAATGAACTTAAACGTCAACAATTACGCGAGTTAGCTGCTCTTAATGGTACTCTTCGCGATGACGAAAATCAAATTTGTACAAATTGCGGTGCTACTGGTCATCGGAAATATGAATGCACTGAATCTCAAAATTTCACCATTAATCTTACATGCCGCATTTGTAGCGGTCACGGTCATACAGCAAGAGATTGCATGGAAAGAAATAATCCTGAAGCTTTACAACAAGCTAAACAGAGAGATCAAAAGTTAGATAGTGAATATATGAGCTTAATGGCCGAGCTTGGTGAAAATGTTGATACGTCAAGAACTAATGAACTCGGTGTGAAAA